GCGCCCCCCGGCGGCGGGAGAGCGGGCGGCCGGCGGGACCTGCCCTTCCCGGGGCTGCTGCCAGGATGGCACACGGGCACGCACTGAGGAACACAGACATAGATGTGTGTGTGTGTGTGTATGTATGCGTATATGTGTATGTATATGAATGCATGCAGATGCACGTATTTATATAAATACAGCCCCTGCCCCATCCCCATCCCATTGACGGTGGCCACAGCACTGTCCTGCCTCAGGGCCAGGGCCTTCTCAGCACTCCCTGTCATGGGGGATGCCACCAGCCGCCCGATGCCATGCCACCTGTGGCCATTGGCACCCGTAGGTGATGGCCACGGGCGCTGGCAGCCGTATGGTTGGGTTACCACCACGCAGGGTGCAGCCGGAGCTGATGGCGGCGGGGCTGACCGCCTGGTCACGGTGTGGGGTAGCTTCCAGGGCACCTGGGACGGCTGAACCGGCTGCTGGAGCCAGTTGGCCATCACCCCTTGCAGTCATTTCTGGATGCATCGGGCTCTCTCTGCCAGGAAAAAGTAATCTCTGCTGCTGATAGCACCATGGCTTATTTTTAGAGGCAAGCGTGTTCTACTTTAGGGAGTGTTGCCAGAAATTATATTTTACAGGCTAAAGGTAATTTCTCCTGCAAGGATATTCCAGGATTGTTTCAAGGAAAATGTACTTTCTGTAAAACTCAGAGTATTGTGACTTCTCAAATCCATCCTTTCCATAAGTAAACTTGTGTGTGTTGTAATAGTTTGAAAATTCTGAACATTGTATTTGAAATAATCTAAATAATGGATTATTTTGTATTATTTCAGAAAAAGCTAATATATTCCATAGAAAAGTCCTGTATAAATAGTTGCTGTGGATGGTGCTGAATAAGTAATTTGATGTTGGTAGAAGTATTTCTAGCATGCACTTTGCGTATAGATATATTGCAGAAATTAAGAAATAAGACTGATGTATCTTCAATCAGGACTGTTCTAAAAGTATTATTTCTTTTATACTGTTTTTCATTTTTGTTTAGTCTTGTGAAGGCATATTTTTTGCATCTTTCCAGTTTTGCAAATGAAGCTGAGGCACAGTGCTGGCAGAGGTGGATAGAAATGATAGGATAATAGCCTAGAAGTCTGCTGAAAAAAAAAAAGCTGAACCATCTGAGAAGAGGGAATCTGGTGTTCTGGCAGGATAACTAATATTGAGAAGTTCTGGCTCCATGTATTTTGGGCACCCATATGTATGATACTGAGATTTTGCACCGTTTTGTCAAGCCACAGGCAGAAGGTCTTGGAGAAGGAAAGTAATGGATTTTTGACTGCTTGGTTAATGGCTTTTAATGCTGTTGTTGTAGGTTCAAAGTGAGAATATTGTTGTTGCTATTGTTGGGGTTTTTTTTTACACTCATGTTTTTTAACATTGTGTAAAACACTATTCCCAATAGAGTATCAGATGTCATCTTCTAGAGGAAAATTGTGCTGTCATCCTAAACAGCCTTGACCCATAAACTCCATTCCTGGCCCTACCAGACTTCTTGATGGATCATGGAAAGTGACATACTTTGCTTTGATTTCCAGTCTGTAGAATGAAGACAAACCTGGATCACATGGACAAGGCATCTGACTTACCTTCCATCACTCATGAAAATCATAGTCTGTTATTAGGGAAACCAGGTGCTTATTGCCCTATAAAGATGTCTCATTATTATCAACACAGTTGGGGTATGCTAACAGTCAGTGTCTCATTAAACTGCAGAAGCAATCCCATAAGAATAAGTCACTTACATCCATTTCAGAGTTGCTGTTAGACTTCTTGGAGATAGCAATTAGAGGGTTAATTAGGATTCCTCGATTCCGGATTCACACATCAATCATGCCTTCTTCCGACAAGCATTCCACATCTATGCAAACTGCAACTTTTACTTTATTATGCTTCAAACAGAATGATAACATTAGTTGTATTGTCAAATAATTAGTCTTTAGGGTATTCCTCTCGGTTCTTTGTAGAACTGCAGTTCCACCAGCTTTCATGGTAAGGGTTTCCCTTAGGTCCTATTATTTTCAAGTTTTGTCTTCTTCAAAGTTGAAATGCCTGCTTAAATGTTTTACAGATGTACACAATGTACCCAAGGAAAAATAGTGAAGGGCCAAATCCTGCCACCTCTTGTACATCGTGTTACTCACATGAGTATTACCCTCTAACTTACGCAATTCTTGTGAATAAAATTTTGTATGTGCATAAGTGTTAATGGGATCATGCCCATACTATCTGTAGCTGCGTGTTTTCTGTATGAATTTGCATCCCTACATTTCTGCTTTCAACATTGTTTAATGTTTTTTCTTCATACCCATCTGATTACACGAGACTCTTTCCTTAATCTTAATTCTCTTCTGTATATTTACATGTGTCTTCCCTCCTATCATTCTGTTTCTTTCCCCTTTTCTGCTACTTAATTCAGTCTGTCTGTTCCTCCATGTGCTCTCAGATACTTTCTTTGTAATTTGGCATAACATGTCTGATTTTCTAAGTTTTAATATCTCTGATCTCAATACTGATGTTACTAGAACCTGAAAGCAAAATGTCAGACTGGTAGTGCCTGAAGTAGAACTAGACAGAAGACAAGACATATTTTTCTCCAGCTGGGATTTAAGAAATCACATGAGTGTACATAAAGGAGGGAACGCTCAGTGTTCCTATATCATTGTGGTAATGTTATGTAATTGATCAATATTAGAGTTTTTCTAAGACCATATTCTTTGTGCCAGTTAGCGCATATTTAAAATGCAATTAATAAGTCATGAATTTTAATTCAAAAGGAAGTATATTAAATAGTCTGAGCTCCTGTTTCACCCAGTTACACCCATATGAAACCGAATAACTAGTTCTGGATAACAGATGTCCTCCAGAAAGATACCTGATTATGCTGCGAAGACCTACAGAGATCGAGAATAACCATTCTGCGATGACGGTTTTCTCTGGTAAATGATTAGTAGTTGTTCTGGGTAGTTTGGGTTACAGCTGCAGTATGTAATCAGGCCTCACCGATCCTCTTCCCCACTTACGAAACAGTCACGTGGAGGTTGTTAGTG